ATCCGCAAGAACGATTGAACCTCGCTTCCAAAGTGCATCATCTCTACTACTATGTTCAGACTGGATACCTCGCTCTAGAACCTGCGTTTTCTATTGATTCAAGGACAATGGGATGCATTAAATTTCCATTTTACGAGGATTGCCGCACCCATTTGAAAAGAAGGAATTTTATACTTGCAAATACTAAAGAATATAATTACATCTACCTTCTACGTTTAAACAAAGCTAAAAAATAATATGGCAATTTTTTTATGTAGGTACCTTGATCACAAATATGACAGAGCTAATTACGTCAATCTTCATTTAGCATCATTGAAGACTATGTATTTGCTTAACTTTGACGCATATAGGCCAGGAAATGGACGCGGCTTTTTGTTTCGGCAAGCTGAATTTATCACTATAGATGCTAAATATTATGTACAATAACATATTCATTTCCACAGTCATAAAAATGGGGAGAAGATTGTTTACGGGGTGGTTAATTGTAAAATTTTTACGTAAATTCACGTTTTTCGCTTATAACTGTTTTACGTTCATTTCCACGAGAAAACATGCAGTAAAGTACTTTTTTTTCGTCTTCAAAAGACCTACAAAACTAGCCCTCGAGCGTCAAAAAATATTAATTAGATCAAAAGTTATAAATAGAAGAAGTTTATTTATGACTTTTGAATTAAACATTTATAAAATGCATTATAATATTTAGCATCTATTATAAATAAATTCAGCTTGCCGAAACAAAAAGTTGCAAAATGGTAATTTCCCAGCTCTTTTGTCAGGATTGTTAAACTCACTATTTAAGACTCATTTTGTTTATTATTTTACTTATAGTTTTCAATTTAATGTTCTCAAAAGAAGTGGTCATTACCCTTGACATGGTCCGAAGATTCTACCTCAAAATATACCATATAGCAGAAATTACGGCAAAATCCTCATGGAAAGAAACAATTTGGACAGTAAAGTACCGTGAGTTTAGCAAAAAACAATTGCTGTTAGTTCCTTGATAGTGCTTCATTTATTATCCTTAGTATTCTTTCAGTTTCAGTTTATTTTTTCCATTTTTATTTCAAAGTCAACCGCTAAAATATTTCGAGTCTAAAGGACTTTGATACACAACTCAGTATAACAATCTAATTGCAAGTTAAATTAAAGACGGCGTACATATTTATTAAACCCGGTTTTTTAATTTTGAAGCGTGTCGTGCTATCCTTTTTCGTCCAGTAGCGTATTTTCAAAAGTAACACACGTATCGACCCACGCTAGCAAATATCAGCTTTATCTCGTTACAATTCGTTTAGCTGATAGAATTACGAGATGGATCAATAAACGAAGGGCGATATCATTCATCAGCAATCATGATTTCCTCTCGACAATGTCTAACTAACTGGAAAAAGTTTTGCGTTGTAAACATCGACAGTAACGCCCCTGGGCCTTATCTGAACATCACAATTAGAGACGGAATCAAATAGAACCCGTGGCAAAGGTCAGTTATGGGTTTGAGTCTAGTTCTAACGACATCGGTCCAAACAGGACAGACGTAATTATAACTCAAGATATTTGAAAGAGTTTTCTTGTTTTATTTATTTTATTCATCACTTCTCAAGATTCATTTTAGCTTTTTTTACAAATGATTGGCTTAATCTGACACCGCATAGCCTTAGGATAGGAATTGCCGGAATTATACACGTAACATATAACGAAATAACACTCGGAAAAGTTAACTCAAAGATAAAAGTAGGCAAGTACATCCTGATAAGATGCTACGTAGATTATACTAATGTAATTATCGAGTTAATTTATTTGTTAACAAGTATTTCACGATCGTTTTTTGACATTATTGACATTTACAATTATTAGATATAAATAAATTCGAAACCACCTTTAGGAATTTAAGTTCTTCATCATGTTTAAGATTAGATATATGAAAACTTTTCTGCTTATTCAGTTATTTTTATTGAGATTTACTATTGTTGTTTCAAAAACAAGGACATTTATGGGCACACATCTTGTCTTATTAAACGAATTTTTATGTATCGGCATCATTTAAACAATTAATGCAAGTAAATACTAATATTCCATTGAAATTATTTATCCGCATGTCATTTTCATCTTCCCTTGCAATTTTTGTAAATTTAAAATTTATTGAGAGAGAAGTAAGCACAGACATATCCATGTAAACACGGATTTAAACTACAATAAGGCTAGATAAAACCTAAATATATCTGTTATTCCTATTACAATGACCTACTAGCTTAAGTTATAATAAATTTTATTACAGAATGATTGATTAAAAAGATTAAGATTACTATTGTCTGTTTTGATAAGAAAGTGTAATATTTATTATTAGTCTTTCAAGATAAATACCTTGGAAGGCAATTCATGTGAGAACGAATGTGTCGAAGGTGATGTAATACCTCTTATAATAGCGTTTGTTTAATACATTTTCAAAACAACAGATCAAAATTCAGTTAAAAAGTACAGTCACGATCATTATCTTCAATTCATTGAATAATAAATTCATTAAATGAGGTTGAAGTTCCACAAGGACCATAACTTGGGCCTAGATAATATTTTTGGTTTACGATATTAAATTCAAAATAAATTTTAGATGTCTCCGGCGAAATATTGAAAACAAAATTATATTCTCATTGGTTTACAATCATGATATTTATAAAGCTGAAAACTTATGAAGGGTGGTATGTTATTATTCTGTGCGGCCTTTCAGCAAAATAGAAAAAATAACATTTTCTTACAAACTCAAACAATAATGGTTTCAGAAAAAAATTTACCTTCCCATGTAACATAACCTCAAATATGTAAAAAAAATCGCGATTTTAGCACTTTTAATTAGGATATCTCGAAAACCAAAGCCAATCGAGAAATTTGGACCTCGGATTCGAAATAAGCACACCAAAATCCTTTGGGAAAGTATATTGGTGTTGTTAGGTTAAAATTTTATCGGCCCGTGTTACAATATTGTTTGAAAATTTGAGAAAATCTACAATTTGTTGGTAATAATTTCGCAATTGTAAAAATAACCACATTGTGATGAAATTTTCGCACAATTTGTTCTCGTCACGATTTTAGGAACAATTGTGTACATTTTCATGACAAGGTTTTTCCCGAATATGTATAGTAGGGTGGCCCAAAAAAAGCGATTGTTTTTTTTTCGTGTCTTGTGAAAATATGTTAGTTTATCATGTTTTAAGAGCCCTCTCAAAAAATCAGCTCAAAAAGAATTTTTTTAGAGGTCGCTCAAGATTTTTAAAAATTTCCAAAATCGTCAAAAATTGATTTTTTTTTTAAATTTTTTTCTCATTATTTTATCATTTTTTAGGTTGACAAAAATCTCGATTCTGAAGTAGTGTACCTGTTTTCGAACGACCTCTAAAAAATAAATATCAACGAACTAATATTTTTTTCTTTCTGGATTTGATGAACAAAAGGATAGAAATAAATCACGAGACACTTAAATTTTAAAAAATTAATATATTATAAACACCTATTTGATACTCACAGTGTAGTAGTAAATTTTGCCTTGAGAAATTTTATCTCGTGATTTATTTCTATTCTTTTGTTCATCAAATTCAATAAAAAAATTATTAGTTCGTTGATATTTATTTTTAGTGATCGCTCGAAAACACTAGGTACGCTACTTTTAAAGTTAAAATAATTATGAGTGACCTTTAGAAATTAAAATATCGATTTGAAATTTTCAGAATCGAGATTTTTTTAAACCTAGGAAATTATAAAATAACGAGAAAAAATTTTTTTTAAGAAATTTCAATTTTTGACGATTTTGGAAATTTTTAATCTTGAGTGACCTCTAAAAAATTTTTTTTTGAGCTGATAATTTGAGGGGACTCGTAAAACATGATAAACTAACATATTTTCACAAGACACGAAAAAAAATTGTATTGTGATTTCGCTTGCATGGGTACTGATAAAATTAATAATAGAGTTGCATGTAGAGCTCCAAAAGTTCCGGCATCGAAAAAAAAACGGTTTTCTCTCCAGAAAAAATAGGTAGTAATAAAAAAAATAATGAACATCACTTTTAGAAGCTGACAAAGATTCTGAATATATTTAGAATAATCAAAAACATGTATGTTACTTTGAAATCAGAAGCATCGGACATGGAATTTGAAGATCTTTCTTTAAGGGAATTTGTAAAATAATGTTTTTTTTCAGAGTTTAGCTTTTTTAGCACGTTTTTATGTTGAAATTTGGTTAAAAAACAATTTGAATATACATATTTTCTTATTAGTTAATGTCAGTAGTCACAATTTTCATTGTTTACTCACTAAAAAATGAAGGTTTTGTTTATTTTTGTTGTTTTAAATATATATTACTTTCTGTTTCGTTGCTTGGGCCCTACTTTTTTGAGATTTGAGAGCAGCCCGATCCCAAATATATAAATTTTGTTAAAAATGTTATTTTCATACTCATTGAGATCACAGCAAAATCCGTCTGTTTTTTTTTTAAATGTAATTATTTTTCCAAGTGGTGTTATTGCCATTTTTTTCAATTTTCTTAAATTTTTAATTTGAATAACAAGAAAGTGGTTCATCTTTAAACATTAAATCTTTAATTTCGAGTACTTTTACCTATCCTTGTTTGGCCTATGCCCTACAATTCCAAACTAGATCACCCTGTACGTATCGCTTTGCTCAACAAATGTACTCAAACCTGCTACAGAAAATGTTTCACAAACAGCTAAAGAAAATCGTATTGTGCTAACAAAACAACTTGTGGCACGTTTTTATCGATTTTCCCGGCAATGTTTATCATCCACACGCGTGAAATTTATTAGATTTAATGCGTGTTCGCAACATCCAGGTGCAGATTTGTACATGCCGGTCGTTCTTACATGCATCAATAATATTCCTTCTTAAATTCAGTCGGATAAAATACAGTATTGTAGCGGCCACAAACATATTGATTTTATCTAATCAGTATCGGTTTGATAAGATTTCTACAATTTATTATTAACTGACTCACGCTCGCCATTCCTCTGCCACCTTGATACGTGGTGACTATCCGTGAATTCCGCGAGTCCAAGATGAAAGTCGTGGTGAGAACAGTGCAGCACGAGTCGGCACTCGAAGCCGTGCCCAAGACGTCCACCAGGGAGATATTCAGCCTGATATGCAAGTCCCTCGGCATCCAGGAGACGTGGTACTTCGGCCTTATGTACCACGGCACCGACAACGAGGAGGTATGGGTGGATCAGTCGAAAAAGGTGAGATAGCTCCGTATGTTAGGGCTGGTTCAGTGAAAATTTTAAGTATTTGTGGCGCTTGGCACTCCCGCGTCATATCCTTGGCGGGTTTTAACGCTGTTATCATCCGGTTGAATTAACCTGCGTGTGCGCGAGTGATTCTATTCGACTCGTCGTGACGAGCGCGGAAAAACTAACGTGAAGAAAGTGTGGTAAGGTAAAAAGGATGGAAGTGAGGATCGCAGGGGTAAATAGCAGAAAGAATACAAAAATAACCATGTTTTCCATGACTATTCCCATATTTTAAAACCCGTGTACAGGGTGTACACCGAATCTTGGAAATATTACATTTACTTTGACCTATAAAAAGTTTTTAAATTCAAATCCAGTTTTATTTGCAGATACAATTTCGAATAATAATTCACTCTTTGTTGTCTCCCACAGTACAAATGATTTGTACAGGGTAGTTCAATTTTTATTGATCAAACTTTAGGAGTAAGTTTATAAAAAAATAAAGATGGTTAATTTACGGGATGTCCCAAATTTTTACTACCGTTAGCACTTCGTTATATAAACTTGTTACAGTTATAGTTTAAAAAATATATATATTATATCCCTAAATATTTTCTGGACAAATGGAGATAAGGAAACGATATTTTTATGTATAATACATAAATAAAATGGCATTCAACACAGGGTTTCAACTGAAAATATTAAACAAAGAGTGACCCAGTGATTAAAAAATTTGAAATACGTGACCTAAAAGTGACATTTCCAATATAAACAATTAAAAACTACCTACGTAATAATTATGTATTAGCAACCTTTATTTCGAATATGTGTGATTTACATTTAATACTGTAACTGTAATCAGTGTAATTGATTAAATTTGACCACTAGATTCTACGATGAAAATTCTTGGCAGTAGTTCAAATAAAAATTTGTTGATAATCTTCAATTTCAAAGTACAAGTTATTGAAGTTCAATTATACTTAGAATCTACAGGCATTTTACTAACAGGTATTTTATTTTTGAATTTATAGTTGAATTTCCCACCTTCATAAAGAAATATTGGATTAGTCACACCTTTTGGTGATTTTTTATGAGGAACAGCGCTATTATTTTTATTAAATAGAATTTTTAACCAAGAAACATTTTTAATACATACCTTTAACAGAGAAACTACAGGATTTACGAAGAAAAAATCGAATAACACATTTTTATTGACAAAAATAATCCGAAACGCCCGATCCCAAATATATAAATTTTGTTAAAAATATTATGTTCATACTCATTGAGATCACAGCAAAATCCGTCCGGATTTTTTTAAATGTAATTATTTTTCCAAGTGGTGTTATTGCCATTTTTTTCAATTTTCTTAAATTTTTAATTTGAATAACAAGAAAGTGGTTCATCTTTAAACATTAAATCTTTAATTTCGAGTCCTTTTACCTATCCTTGTTTGGCCTATGCCCTACAATTCCAAACTAGATCACCCTGTACGTATCGCTTTGCTCAACAAATGTACTCAAACCTGCTACAGAAAATGTTTCACAAACAGCTAAAGAAAATCGTATTGTGCTAACAAAACAACTTGTGGCACGTTTTTATCGATTTTCCCGGCAATGTTTATCACCCTCACGCGTGAAATTTATTAGATTTAATGCGTGTTCGCAACATCCAGGTGCAGATTTGTACATGCCGGTCGTTCTTACATGCANTTGTGGCCATTGAGACAATTGACCAGTATGATGAAATCTATCACATATCAAAAATTCAGCGAATTTGACCGGGACCCAATTTCCATAAGATTTGTGCGGGGTCCTTTGACCACTAGATTCTGCGATGAAAATTATTGGCAGTAGTTCAAATAAAAATTTGTTGATAGTCTTCAATTTCAAAGTACAAGTTATTGAAGTTCAATTATACTTAGAATCTACAGGCATTTTACTAACAGGTATTTTATTTTTGAATTTATAGTTGAATTTCCCACCTTCATAAAGAAATATTGGATTAGTCACACCTTTTGGTGATTTTTTATGAGGAACAGCGCTATTATTTTTATTAAATAGAATTTTTAACCAAGAAACATTTTTAATACATACCTTTAACAGAGAAACTACAGGATTTACGAAGAAAAAATCGAATAACACATTTTTATTGACAAAAATAATCCGAAACAGCACAAACATGAATGTAACTCAGAAACAAATGAATATATAAAATTTTTAAGATAGAGATAAGAGCATTTTTAAAATACTTTTCATTATAAAATAACTTTAAAATAGACATCTTTCAAGACTAACCTGAATTTTATAACTTTTGGATGAAAACATATTTCGAAAAATAATCAAAACTGTTCAAATTGCCTATATTTATTCACTGTTGGAAGTTCTGACATAGAAACTAAGCTAAATACAAATAGAATCCCATTTTATAACAAGATAGCAGTTATACACGATTTCAATTATGCGGCTGACGGATAAATCACATTTCAAAATTTGTTTGCCTTGGTTAGTATCCCGTAGAGAATTGCGGAGTTTGAGTAAATAAAACAGAAATATATTTCCCCAGCTATTTCCTGTATCAGTACTCGATACTCGCTTTTATCTTTACTTTTGTTGATTCATATAATAAATATTCCTTCATATCTACCTTCGTATCTTTGAACTTAAAACTTAATAAAAAAATAGAGAAAAGGAAGTTACTCTCTCTTGAACGCACTGAATGTGTCCAAATCAAATTTGTTAATATACTTTTTTACTAATTTAACAGGTACTTTCACTTTGAATCTATAACGCCAGAAATAAATATTCTGAATTAATAAAATTGCCAAGTCGAAGAGCAACAAGTTATATAATTTTCCTATAAAAAATGTTAATAATAGTGTTCATTCCACATAGGACTAAATATTTTATTAGGCTTAAACTTCACTAGTTATGCTGTCCAAAATTAATATTTTTATTAAACTATTACTTTTATTCATTTGTATGATTAGAATTGCATCAAATGAAAAATTCAAATTCTCTTATAAACTTTTTATTTCAACCAGATTAATTTTTCCTATTATACTTATATTTTTTATTATACATAGATACTTTTTCTCAATCTAATTCCCCAGTGTCCCTCAAAAATTGTACAGTGAATATTTTCATCATAATTATGTATTTTGTAACGTATTTCATCAAATTAGGCGTGAGGCTATATGTTTATTTAATTAAGATGTGCTTTCACTGTTTATTTTTACACACCTATATTTACTGCTATGCTTTTCACATGTCCAACCTTTGTTCCAAACTCTGTTATTGGAATTTTGGCGAAATTATATTAGTTGCCTTAGCTGTGAAGGAACAAATCTAAAATAAAAATCAATTAATTCTAAAATCAAAAAAGTGGCACGGAATATTTAAATTTAAACAACACATTATAATTTAGTTTCAAAATACCCAGGTTGACGAGAGAAACCACGCGTTTGCCGAACCAAAATTTGAGATTTCTAGTTTCGTATTAACGTTCGCCTATTTCGCTTTCATTTGCTAATTGCGGTATCCAATTTGTTTGTGTTTCTCCATACGGCCCACCCTTGTTGCCTAGGGTGATCCGGGGTTTCAAGGGGGGTCTCCAGACCCTGGAACTTTTAACAACTACGTATATTACCCGTGTAATTCGTACATCATAATTAGATAGCTTTATTTAATGCAAAAATACTGCTTGTGTCACAGCAACGACATCTTCGAAGATAAAAGCAAAAAAATAAGCAAAGTTAGAATGTGATAATTGTTGTCAGCAGTCTTTGTATTGTATTTGTTTTATGAAATCGATATCAGGGCACCGCTGGTGACAGTCATTATTCTCACGAATTGTTAATGATAAATCAGTTTCATTGATTTTAACTATTCAGTGAATAACAGATACAGTTTTGACGAACAAACCGATATGTTATCAGTTCTAGGGATTATGCGAAGGAAGCTGGCGTAAAAGTGCGCGCGAGTTATCATGAATTTCAGCAAATATTGAAATACGTCTTCAAGAAACGTCAGTTTAAAATTAACAGAGGTATCTAATGCGGGACCTCTTCGTCGTCGAACACTAATTGTGGAAGAAGAAATCCTGGAAATCAGACTGATACAGTGGCAGACTGTAGTTTCCAAAAGTACAGCGAATAAAGTAATCGCCGAACAACTAATTCAATCCAGTTCGACAACTTTTACTTTTTGATATTGTCGCTCGTCTTCACTTTTAGACCAAGAAATAAAGGTGAAAAATCATGGAGAACTCGTAAAAATTACTGGGCGTGATTTTATTGTTGGAAAGTCTTGGGAATGATAATACAAGAGGCGTCTCATCAAATGGGTCATGAAAAAAGTATAGCGTCATTGTTTTTTATCAACAAATAGGTAAAAAATTCGTCATTTTTCGTTCTACGCGTTATTGTAAAAAAAATATTAATCTTAGCAAAAAAGTTCAACAGACGATTTGATCTAGAGAACTCATCTTTAAAATGAGACTTTATAAGTTAAAATTGCTTATAAACAAAAAAGTTATTGCAAAATTAAACGGAAAATGTGCTTTTTCTTTAATTGTTAATAACTTTTTCAATAATTAATAAAATCTTACCAAACTTTCCCAAAATATGAGTTTTTATATCCTTAAGAGATATGCAAAAGATGGGCTCGATCGGTCAAATAGTTTTTGCAAAATTCCATTTATTTATCCCATATTTGCAAAAAAGGCCCATTTTCAAATGACTATTCCGGGGGCAGGGTTGTGACTAAAACATTCTTTTTGGACTCATTTTCTTCGAAGGGACACCAAGTATCCTCTAGTTAAAAAAAAATAATTTTTTTTCAAATTTAGTTGTATATAATTGTTACCAAATAGAAGGCACTTTTTTCCCTAACAAACAAATAAAATAACTCCGCGATTTTTAACTTTTGAAAGAAGTTATATACACCATTCGAAAGCTCGCAAGAAAACCTACCTACCAATTGAAAAAAAAACAAGTTTTTACGACCAATACGTCCGGAGTTAGCAATTTTTTATTAATCACAGAGGAATTTATTATAAACATTAAGAACTGAAATTTTAACGTTTTGTAAATGAAGGTTTAAACTTTATGCCCTGTTAATTTTAATTGAATTTGCCCATAATTGATCAATCCAGACCCCGTCAAAGTAATGGTACGCGGCAGTAGCCCTTCAGGGAGTGGTGGTGGGGAGATCTTCCTGTCAACCAGGAAAAAAATGACAATGTCAAATTTGTAATATCTCAGGTTCTATGTAAGTTAGAACGTAGAACCATCTTTTTTAATTTGGGGTAGCTCGACGAAAAAATTACTTCTGGATGATTTCTACCCTTGTAAAACCACCCCTTACCCCCCTAAAAATGAATTATTTGAAAAAAAAAAATTTTTTTTGCATCTTTTTATATTTAAAATGTTTTAGACAATAGTTCACAATAAAAAAATGTTGTCAAAACTATTTTAACCCTTCAAAATTAATTTAACCCCCTCAACCCCCCAAAAAAATCAATATTTTTATTTTTTTATTTTTTCATACATTTTATATAAATATGGATTTTGTATATTGATTAAAGGACTAATTATTTTGTAAAATTATTATTAATATATTTATTTATAATTAGTAGGTATAAAAATATGTAAAATATTTCCACATATACTAACAGTATAATTTTTTTTTACAATTCATTATAAATTTCAACTTCAATTTGGGGGTATTAACCGACGAAGCTAATTTTTCCAGAGATGCTATGAACTTCCACAATAAACACGTTTGGTCTGATGAAAACCCTCGTGTCATAATGGAATCTCGATTTCAACATCAGATTTCTTTGAATGTATGGGTGGGTATTATTGGAAATTCTCTTGTTGGGCCTTACTTTTTACCAAGAACTTTAACCGGTGCCTCCTACAGACAATTTCTTGAAAACGTTTTACCTGAACTACCTGACGATGTTCCCCGTGCACTAAGAGAAAGAATGTGGTTTATGCACGACGAGGCTCTCCCACATTTTAGTTTAACTGCTGGTGAATTTTTTAATTAAGGATTCGGTACTAACGTGATTGGACGAGGCACTCAAGAACCAGGTCAACCTTAGCCACCCAGATCACCCGATATTAACCTTATTGGTTTTTTTTTTGGGGACAATTCAAGACATTAATTTATAAGAATCACATTGAATTTGAGGAGCACTTACATCAACAATTTACAGTTGGTTGTAATGTGATAAGAGCTACTCCTGGAATTTTTGCACGTATTCAAGCTGCAATTTCAAGAAGATTTTAAGCATGTATTTTGGCTGAAGGTGGCCATTTCTAATATTTATTATAATAAATCGTAGTAAAGTAATTTAATTGTCAATTAATTATTTTGTTATCATTTTAAGTGATGTAATGAGTATCGTAAAAATGCACTTGATCAAATAAATCAATTTTGTTGTTAATTGGTTTGGAGTACAAAAAAATTGTAAAGAAACAAAAAGTAAAGATAATACAATGGCGCATATGATGACCTGTTATTTGTATTATTATAGAGGGTGATATATTTTTATTGGCAAATAATGACCGATGATACCCACACCTCTGCCACTGGTAAGTTTATAAAGCTGGTATTTTGTTGTTTCATACCTACTGTTATACTATATATGCACACCGAATTTGGTTAAATTATCTCAAACGGTTTAGAAATTTTTTTGTTTTTAATTTTTGACACGCTGTAGCTGGACAATAGCTGTCCTAAAACCCCACATTTATATGAGAAAAAGCCCTTATTTTTGGCCATAGAATACGACCCTGGATTTTTGACTTCTACTTAAAAACAGCTGTAGTTTATGGATGACGGAGCACCACTGTAGTTCAGTCGCAACTGAAAAAACATTTACTGATCAGTACCCAGGCAAATGGATAGAACAACAGATGCTTTAATTCACTGGCCATCACGTTCACCTGACTTAAATCCCTGTGATTTTTTTATTTAAGCGGCCTTAAAATTGAAAGTGCGTAAGGAACAATTGTAGAACAGTCATGAAGATGCTGTTCACTATTTGCAGAATTAACGAATACTGAAAAGAGTGCATTTAAATTTTTTGCATAGAATTAATTTATGTATTATAGAAAACGGTGGTCATATTGAACAGTTCTTTTGATTTCAGGCGTTGAGAGAACTGAGGAGCAACAGCACGAACTTACAGTTCAGAGTAAAGTTCTACCCCGAAGACGTGGTGGAAGAACTAATCGAAACGGTGACCATAGAATTCTTTTTCCTGCAAGTCAAGGCGGACATCTTAAGGGACGTCATCTACTGTCCCCCAGACACCTGCGTGGTACTGGCGTCCTACGCTCTACAGGCCAAGTACGGCGACTACAACAAGAACGAGCACAACGAGGACATCCTCAAGAAGCAGAAACTGCTGCCCGACAGGTAAGAGGTATAAGGTAGAGCTGTACTTAAGGATTAGCCCCTTGAAAAAATATCGGATTAAGGGATTAACTGTTATCGGAGTGTCGAAATTTATTCCGTAAATAAACCAGCAGTGTGGACTTTGGTAAATATTTTTATCATTGTAATATAAAAAATGGAGACTTGGTTAACAATTAAACGTAAATACTTATTCAAACTGCTGAATAGCTCAGCGTAAGCTATTCGGAGTTATTTAAAATAATATACAGGATGCACACAAGCAGGGTTTCCTTGCAGTTCTTAAATTATTTTAATTTTGCACCAGAACTTTTTAGAAAAAGCAACGCTTTGAGATATTTAATTTTGGATAAATTTGGTTCATTAAAATTGTTTCTGGACAAAATTCGACTTAAATTATGTAACAAAATTGTAGTTGTAACTCGACAAAACATTTGAAAGCTTAAGTTTTTTTAAATATTTTGTTAAATAGTCAAATTATACAGATACAAATGTGTCGGAACACCTGTGTACAAGGTGAATCATAAGTTTGATTAAAAATACCTTTAACAAAAGTTTTTGTAGTATTTTAGTTATTTTTTGCAATGACGTACTTTATTTCCCAACATCTACTTTGTTTTTTAGAGATACGGCCCTGTTTATTTTAACTTATTTCAGAAAGACGGATTTTCACCGATTACAATGATATAGGGTTGTAGTTTTTTACAAGTTGAATAAAACAATAAAGTAGAGTTGCCTGTTTACATTTTTTGTTACGGTTTTGGTACCGTTTTTGAAAATTTTGTTTAAAAGAAATCAAATCATGATCAGATGCTGTCAATAGTGACAGATAGTTATTACTTATTAAGAAAGAATTTCGTTGTTGATGTTGGTTGGTTTTGGAGACGAGAAGAGATCTCTGCAAAATGCATGCATTATTTTTATTGCAACTTTTCTTGAAAGAAATTCCCATATTTCAAAATCAACAGTTTCAAGAGTTGAGGAAAAGTTTCATGAAATGGGAAGTGTTAAAAATCTTACAAAATCCGGCGCACGTAAATCAGCTACAAATGAAAACACATGTTCTTCTCAATCTACAAGAAGAACCAAAAACTTCAGTGCCACAAGTAGCCTTATATCACAATATTAGCGAGAGATCAGTATGATGGATATTGTCCAAAAATAAATTTCATCCGTATAAAGTACATTTAATACAAAAATTAAGGATGGCCCTGATAGAAGGATGCAAGTTTGTGAGGAAATGATGAACAACATTGAGAATAATGGAAACTTTGTCAATTATATACTTTTCTCCGATGAATCGACGTTTTGCTTGAAGGGTTTTGTAAATCGACAACTGTTGTTACTGGAGTGATCAAAATCCACATTGGATAGAAGAACATCACATTCAATACCCTCAGAAATTAAATGTCTGGATGGGCATAATCAGAGGACACACTCTAATCGTTATTTACAACTTTTGCGCGAGCAAATTGTTCCAGCATTGATTCGTTTATTTCCAAGCCAAGCAAATCCTGAACTACTCTCAAATGGCATTTGGTACCAACAAGATAGGGTTCTGCCTTGTTATTGAGTTGACCTACGTCGGTACCTAAATAATGTATTTCCACAGAGACAGATATGGATAGAATGGCCACCGCAATCGCCAGATTTAAGTCCGTTAGACTATTTCCTTTGGGGCTATTTAAAATCTGTTGTCTACAAGACCAAACCTCAGTCGTTAGAAGATCTAATTAGGATGGCTGTTCAAGAAATGTCACAGCATGCCATTCAAAATTCCTTATGAGCCTTCGTTGGTCGATTAGGATGGATATTGTCAGGTTGTCGAAGGTCACCAGTTCGAACATTTATTATGAATCTTTTTCTAATGAAGTGCTCCAAATTTTGCAATAACAAATTTAATTTTCATTAAATACAATTATTTACTCATTACTTTATTGTTTTATTTAACATTTAAAAAACAATAAATCGCAGTCCCACCAAACCCTATATCATTGTAATCGGTGAAAATCTGTATTTCTGAAAATGTTTAAATAAACAGGGCGGTCCATTTAAAAAACTGCCGACAACGCCGTACATATCTTTAAAAATAAAGTACTACAAGAACTTTTGTTGAAGGTATTTTTTAATCAAATTTATTATTCACCCTGTACACAAGTGTTCCGACACATTTGCCCAACCCTGTATAGGACGGTATAATTTAAAAATCAAGTTCCAAAGTATGTAGGAGAGGAATAAAAATTGTCTGATGAGATATTTTAAAAGGTAACTGTCCACGAGTTATCTCTTGACATAACTTATAACAGGACAAAATAATTTTTTTATCTTATTGCACTGAATTAAAACGTGGGCAATAAAAATTTACAACTCTCTCATTTATAACCAGAATTTAAACAAGCCTCCTTTCCATTTACAATATTCTTAACGCTGATGTTTTATATATAGAGTGACTAAACAGCACGATATGAACATATCAGAATGGCATACCAGCATAATAGACATGTGGATGAAACATAGAGGACTGGATAAAGAGGAAGCCATGCTAGAATATCTGAAATTGGTCCAGAATTTGGAAATGTACGGCGTCACTTATTTTCACATAAAGAACAGAAAAGGCACAGAAGCTCTGCTTGGCATCACTGCTTTGGGCCTTAACATATACAAAGAAAGTGATAGGTAATATTTACCTTTTCCAGTCGTTTAGCGCCAATATTCACTTATTTTTATTTGACAGGTTGAATCCCACCGTATCCTTCCCATGGTCTGAAATAAAGAACTTAAAATTCAAGGACAAGAAGTTCATAATAAAACCGTCAGACAAATCGGCGAAAGATTTTATCATATATACTCAAAACGGAAAGATAAGCAAGTTGATACTTAACCTCGGTATTGGCAACCACACTTTGTATATTAGAAGACGAAAGCCTGATACACCCGAAATTGTAAAAATGAAAGAAAAGGCTAACGAGATCAGAAGAAACAAGAACATTCAAAAGTAAGTTAAGAAGACTTCGTGTACCATTATTTCATTTTATTTCTTTTAGACAAAAGTACTACACAGAAAAGACGCTCAGGGAAGAAGCGGAACAACGCGAGATCGAATACAAGAAACAGATCCAACGGATGAAGGAAGAAATGGAACGAAGTCAAAAACACCTCCAGGAAGCCCAGAAAACGATAGAGAAGCTCCAACAACAACTGGACGAGCTCCAGAAGTCCAAGGAGGAACTGGAGATTCAACGCAACGAACTTCGGGAAATGATGGACCGTCTAGAGCAGAGCAAGAACATGGAGGCTGCCGAAAAACTGAAGCTAGAAGAAGAAATACGGGCGAAGCACGAAGAAGTGTTGAGGATTCAAGAGGAGGTAGAACGAAAAGACGCGGAGGCTAGGCGGCTGCAAGAAGAAGTGGAAGAAGCCAAGAGAAAGGAAGAAGAATATAGGCAACAACAGCTAGAGGAGGCTGCAAGGAGAGAAGAGGAAGAGAGACAAAGACAGCTCCAGGAACAAGAGCTGGAGTCGGTGCCCGAAGGAGCTGATACTTCTCTTCCAGAGCTGCAACAAATTAACGAACAGCTGAAGGAACAGCTTAAGGTGGGTATCACCAACGATCGAAAAACATTAAAGAACATTTTTTACGGTCATCAACTCCTCAAACCAAATGCAGCTTCGACTTGTATTTAATTTTTCGACGTTCTTTTTCAGATGCTTCAAGGCAAGTTGGAACACACCAGACACGAGGAAGAGGAAACGACATTGGATAAAATCCACAGGGTTAACGTGGCAGAGGGCAGGGATAAATATAAAACTCTTGCGGACATTCGCAGGGGTAATACGGTTAGAAGAGTAGAAATGTTCGAAAACATGTAGTCCTTTAAAGATCAAGCTCATAAATATGTTCTCATCAAAATGTAAAAACTGAGTTCTATTCGAATTGAACAGATTTTTCTTGCGCAGTAAACCGCTGGGAAATTTTTATATACTTATATACGGGGAACTTAAATAAGATAATTATTATGGATTTAAAAAAAATCATATTGGCCAGTTTTGTTTTCCTGATACCTATAAAATTGTAAATATATTATTAAGTGATGGATTTAGCGGAAAATCTCCTATACGCCAAAACTGTATTAGTTATAAGGCATAAAAAAGAAAGTATACACTTACAATATTCTTTGATACCGCTAATGGTTTAGTGAACAATATTACTTCACATTATCGGCAATAAGAAACGTTGTTCATGAAACGGGTAACAGTATTAGAGAATTTTATGAAGTAGGTAAGTCGTTTCTTTACGAATGTCTACTCACATGAGATTGTCCCGTCCACATTATTAAAATTGTTACGATTACTTGCTTAGTTCCCGATTATTTCTAATATGTAAGTATATTTTTTTAACTGTATATTTATATTACCTACTAATTATATAGAAATAGTAACAACTGTTTTTTATTTTGGAAAATTACCAACATATAATTTTTTGAAACTCATTTTGTGTTCATCTATTCCTTACCCAATAAATATTTAAAAAAAAATACCGTACAAAGGACTGGTTAGTGTTTATGAATTATACACAGGGTGAGACTAAATTGCTTGGTGAAACTTTAATGAAATTCTACGTCACAACTTATAAATTAAAAAAAATTCCTATAAACAAGTTAAGAAAGATATGGGGTGTTAACGTTTAAACAAAAAAAAAACGCATATATATAGAAACTTAATTTGTGACGTAGAATTTATGTTTTGCCAAGTATTTTAGCATGTTTAGTTCACCAGACACAATACCTCGCAGCAATGTTTAAGATTTCCCCCCTGATTTCCAAATACCTACCTACATACGTCTGAATTGATAAAAGATTAATATATAACTAGTGAAATAAACTCGGTATTGCGTAAATTCAATAATAAGTATCGTCCTGGTGTTTTCGCAAGCGCTTTTGTTTACTATCATTATTAAAATGTGTACTTTCACAATATACTATTTACTTGTTTTACGTTTACGTCTAAATATATCGCAGTTGAGATGTTGACACATAAATTAGTTGGGAAAAACATTTTTCTAGAACAGCAAAAAAAAATTGTTGTTTCAGGTTGAGCAGCCGACTGAAATTAACGGGTAACGGGTCTGTAAAAGTATGAGAGAAAGGTTGCTTTATTATAATATAAAATCGATCCTTAATCCAATAAATTAGTAATATTGTTTACATAAACTGATTTTAAATACAAACATTCGCAAGACACCCAGAACTAAAAGCTACAACTGACATCACTGGATCTGGCCATGGGCGTAGCTAGAGGGGAGCAGGGGTGTGCACGGCCCACTCCAGAAAAAAGATCTAATATTAACGTCTATCATATCGGCATATCGGTAAGTCGCTGACTGCGTGACTTTTTTTTAGAACATTCATATGAAGTAAATTTTGTGGATACTTAATACTTTTTACATTTGACCCTATATTGATTATAATATTGCTATTCCATTTAGTTTTTAAAATTAGCGTTACCTAGAAAATTGCTCCCTATTTTTGAAAACAAAAACTATAAAAACGATTATTTTTAGACCGTAAAAGAAATCATAAAAAACACGTGTTTCAGTTTAAACACGCTCCTTAATTGTCGAGAATTAAACGCACTGAAGCTTTGGAAATGGAGCTTTGATTATAAAACAAATACTGTAATAAAAAGTAGTAAAACGTGATTAGCTGTTAGATAGCCGCTTTTTGACTATAATCAAATGTGTACCAGCTGTTTTATGTTTCAAAATTCGGGAGAAAGAGTCCGGGGAAAAACTCCGGTATAAAAACTCCGGGGGAAAACTCCGGGGAAATAGTCCGAGAAAAAACTCCAGAAAAAATTGCCGGTGCTTGATAGCTGATTTACTTAATATAAGTTAAAAAAGCAAAAATAAGATTAAAATGGTCCGTTTTTAGAATAAAACAGTATATTTTTTCTTAGAATCACCACGAGTTACAAGCAGTGACTCTTTATAATGAAATTTAGTAAAGGTTTAATCAGACAAATCGTTAAATATACTTTCATCAAAGTCGGAAATATTTTATAAAATATGTTTTTTCAAATATCAGCACTAAAAAATCATATGAAGGAATAATCGAAACATAAACCGAAACATCCTGTATAGAGATAGTATAATGGCTATAAAACATTTAAATTTATATGAATTACATGTACAGAACACCGACAACTTGATTTATGCGCATCGTCGGAATACGCCTTAAAATAAGTGTTTCTACAGATTAACCATGGAGATTGGAGACGGGGAGATCAGACAAGGACACCGAACCACACCAATAACGACCGATTTGTTACATGGAGTTCGTTCTCCTTGTGTACTCTCTCTAAGATTAACAGTAAATTAGGTACATTTCATTTCCTACCGAAGATAAGTAAAGCTGAAAATAGAATTGACGTGTGATGACCTATGTTTTTTCGCTCTTGATTTTCAGATTATTACTTACCTGAAAACAAAGCACCAGATTGGTTAAATCAAAAAACAATCCATGGCGGCATTTTTAAATTCAACCAATCGGCTGCTCCGAGAATAAATTTCATTTGAAAATGCTTGTGCATAGGCGACTTTTGATTCTATGCGTTTAATCAGAGACAACTCGTTTAATGCATTTATGTATGTAAACGAGGAAAGACAAATGGTACACTGATAATCCTGTACCCAAATGTTTAAGATTTTAAAATAATATTCCAAATACACAAATATCTGGATCTTGGAGGTTTGATGTAGAACAATGTACATAATTTGGGATGACGAATTAATTGAACAAAGGTAAAATTTCATTGACTGAATATAATTGTATCAGCGTTGAAAGGAAACTAATCCTCACTCAACAGTATCAGTTAGAAGAGGAGATACTGGTAGGCACTGTTAATAAGAACCTCAGGATTTCGACGGTACTGAATATTCTGAATATTCGATAAATTCATTTGAATCTCAATCCTTGTTCAAAAATTTAATTTTAACCTTAAAATGAGTAATTTTTGGGTCCTTTTTTTTTTCAAAATGAGCCTACTACACTGTCGAATAAAAAGGAAAAAAAACTGTCTCACAAAAAAAAGCTTACAGGGATTTTTTTGTTGCAAATACAATTTTAAATGTAATGTTAAGAATAACAAAAAACAATTTCAATATTTATAGTATGCAGCAAATTTCTAAGCAAATGAATTTTCCAAAACCTCAAAAATGATTTGTTTTTCAAATGAAACAGTAATGCAATTTTTGAAACACCGTTACGAACCAAAAGAAGGTATTTTTAATTATTTTATTTTCTGTTTCTAAACTTGGACACCCTGTATGTATGTAACTATAATTACAGTGATTTAAATTTTTCATTATTAATATCCTGTAAAACATACCCTGTAGCATACTATAATGTAACCAATCGTATTGTAATAAAAAAAACAAAATCAAAAATTTTAGGTGAAGGGATCAGAAGAAAAAATAACTCTTTAACTGTAATTATATATTTTACTGTGATAGATTGGTTAAATTGGTAAAAGAAATAAATACCTATTATTATTATTCAAAGAATGTCTAATTAAATTAATAAAACTTACTTAAAACATCGATTCTCTACTGGTTCTTTCTTAATGTAACCATTATTAAACTCCATGGCAGTCATAACTCTCTTGCCAAAAATTCCAATTTTATCCACACTTATCAAAGTCTTGTCTGCACATACTACAATTAAAGTTTTCCGTTTCTTGTCATATTTCACAAAACCGGGTTTTAAAGGTACACTGTCTTTACTATTTAAAAGTGCATCACAGTTTTTACAATCCGTTACACCCACTAGTTTCACTGGAATCCCATTCCACGAGGAAGTTAATGAAAACAAACCAGTCACAGCCCTTTCCCTGTTGTAAATTTGAGTGGATGTCATGTCCTCCCAAGAAACAACGGCAAATTCCGAACTGACTTTAGGAGCTAGCAAAGAAAAAAATGCACAATGAAACAATAATTTTAAGTTTTTTAAACTCTTACCAAACGTAACACCTTCATCAGGCTGAGGTTTTGCATTTGCTAGTCTTTCTTGTAAATCTTCTAAACAACTTATTAAAGACTTAGCACCCAAACCACCTAGTGTTTCATATAATTCAGGCATCTTTGCATGACTACTTACAAGAACATTAGCTTGCATCAATATTTCACCAATGTCAAATTGTTTGGGACGTATCCTCATTATCGTTATCCCTGTTTCTGTGTCACCATTTGCCAAGGTGTAAATAATTGGAGCTGCTCCTCTCCACCTTGGTAATAAGCTTGCGTGAACATTTAGCATACCTCTAAGAAATTACGATATATTAAATGGATGGTAACTAAAAATTATTAATAACTTACAATGGGAATTTACTTATAACAGATTCCGGTATTAAATGTCCAAACGATACAACAAGACCAACATCAAACACATATTCTGGTACCGTTACGGGCCAACTATGTATTAACAATTTGTGTTCATCTGCATATTTTCTAACAGGATTAGCTTTTCCTTTTGTAGTGGTGACGACTTCCAGTTTTTTTAATACTGTTCCATTAATGCTTAAAACCAATCTTTACACATTTTAAGGCAAAAAGTTAAAAGCTTCTTTTTACTTACTATTCACGATATAAAGCTTTTAGACTATACACGGAAAATTCATCAGTACCAAAGAATAAAATTTTCCATGGTGGTTTTTGTGCAAAACTATTGCTATGAATTTTTTTAAAAGCATTTTTAAATATACCCATTTGATTAAACAATCTTATTTTCATGGCAAATTACAAAATTGAGGTTATAATTTAATTTAATCCTATTTCGATTCTTCTGCAATCCAAAATACAGCATTGTTGTATAACTGGTTGCCTATGCAATCATCCCTAACTTTTAAATATTGTACATATTATTTAATTTTTAAAAAGTTGCAGATCAAATTCATACACATACAATACGTACATAGGTATAATACAGTTGAAGTTAAAAGTGTTGTTTAAATTTGTGTAGAATAGGCGCATGCAATTTACAATGCAATAATACTGTATAATTAGTTGCCTAAGCAGTTGTAATCAAAAATAATTGAAGGGGCAAGTGGATGAATGTGTTATGTTACAATTAGCTTATATCTTGGCTATTCTCACAAAATCGATTATAAGTTATTTAATTTTAAGTAAATTTTGTCACGATACGTTCATCCACTCTAAAAACATACAACAAAGTGTCAGTATACTTATGAAAGTCTGTGATATGATACAGTGATACAAAACATGTTCGTCAACTGAATATCTCAACTTTTCGGAAATTGTAACATAACACATTCATCCACTTGCCTCTTCAATTTTAGTATTAGATTATTTTTCCATCCATTTATTTTGAAGAATGTTACAAGTAAAAAAAGAAACACAAAAAACCGTAGACAAATATATGTTGTATTTCTAAGAGAAAACAATAAATCTATTTAACAAAAATTTTAATTTTTTCCCTCAACCTTTCCTTCTTTTACTTCAGGTTCACCTTCATTTTGCTTTCTTTTAGATAACATTCCTGGTCGATAAATGGCAATGGTTGGTCTATCCTTATTTCTTATTCTCTTTTGCGAGTCACTTTCTTTATTTTTTGACTCTTTTTCCTCTGATTTTGTTTTAGCTGAAGCATCTGTAATTTCTACATTTTTACTTTCTGTTGACTTCGTTTCATCTTTTTCAGGTTTAACTTCTTTAGCTTGATCCAATTTTTTCTGTTCTGCTTTCTGTACCTCCATTTTACGTTCTTCTCGTTTCTCACTGTACTTTTTAACCTTTTTAGTAAAAGATCTTGTGTCGGAATCTTTCTTGTAATCATCATACTTTGATCTATAATCTTTCTCCTTATAATCGTCTGACCTTTTGTAGTCTCGATTTTCAGAATATTCCTTTCTTGGAAACCTCGGTTTTATATCTTTTCTTCTTTCTTCATACTTTCTTTCCTTATTTTTATAGAAAGATGAAGATTTTTCATAAACTTTTTCAGATTTTTCAATCTTCTCCTCTACTTTATTCTCTGTATTTGTTTCACCCTCATCTTTTTCTTCCTTTATACCACTGGTCTTGACTGGTTGAGATTTAACAGTAGATGCTTTTAAGGGTGATTTTTCTTCATTTAGTCTCCTGCAGTCATCATATCTATCCTTTTTCCTGTCAAATTCTCTACGTTTTCGTTCTTCCCTTCTAACCTCTCTAATCCTCATACGCTGAGCCCTTTTATTTTTTATATATTCCAACAGGGGTGTAGTAACGTCATCTTTATTTTCGTTCGTTAACTGTAAAGTGTATTCTGGTTTTTCATCAAGTTCTTGTGGTTTATTCAAAGACTCCACAAATTCAATATAAAGAGGATCCGTTTCAATGGTCCCACATTTTGGATCCATTCTAATCTTCCCTCGCTTTTTGGGTATCTTCTGAAATGAGGCAAATTCAACAACAGCTGGATACTCATGGCCCTTGTTGTCCAAGAATACGTAATTATCAAAACGTTCTTTGAAACTAAAGATGTCATCTGGGTTTACGAAGTTGATATAAACACGGGAAAATGCATATTCCCCCAAGCTTGAATCTCCTTTTACCGTGTAAATATAATTATAATCAGGAACTGGAGAGACTTGGCTTAGAAAAGTCTCTTGATCCATTGATGGAGGCAAACGACGTATAATGACTTTTGTTAAAGGTTTTTCTTTCTTCTCGGATTTCTTTTCATTTTCCGGCAGTGTCATTATCGAATGACTTTCTAAAATAATTTATTTAAAATTTCTGATTTATGGAACATCAACTTAACCTACAACTCTTTTACTTTTATCAGGTGGTTCCCATTCATACAGAACAACTAACTGATCAATAATAAGAGGTTCTTGATTTTTTGAAATTTTATTAAGATGAAAAGGAAAAACATTTGTTTATATATTACCTAATTTAGTAATTTCACTGTATTTTAGAATAAACTTGATGTTATACATGTACTGCATCATTATATTCATCATAAAATCAAGAATAGTTTCAGGGAGATCTAAAAGATCGATCTTCATTTTCTAAAATGTGAATGAAATGCGAACATTGCACTACTGTCAAAACTGTCAGCTGTCTTTCCGTTTTCTAACCTCAATTGTTTAAAAATACATTTTGATAATTTTTTTCATAACTTTATTAAAAGTAATGTAATATTATATTTAATATTTATACAAGTGCAAGAACTTATAATGGAAGTATGTGACGATATGAAAACAAAGTCATGGTTGGGTACCAGTATATCTGATTTGTGTAAAGGAAGAAATCCTTGGAGTTTCAGTGTTAGTCCTGTTCATGCTTCAAAATATCATGCAGTACTGTACAACCTACCAGTTACTTTTAAGTCACCACCGGCGCCCTTCTGTAGTTCACAGCCGCAACATTGGGATGAGGATCATGTGCGAATGCCTTATTCGGAGAAAAATTTGTTTCCAATCAAAGAGGCATGTATTATTAAACTATTACTCATTGTTATAATTTAAAGATTCCTTATTGTAGAATGGAACTGATGTAATTAAAATAAGATGGAATTTAATAAGGGACACTTTATCTAGACCAATTAAAAATAGTAGAGAATTAGAAACGGCAATAACGTCCTATAATAGTCCACTTCCAAGATTTCTGGCGCTTCACTACTTCTTTGAGGAGGTATATTGTTAAAATATCATTGTGGTTTAAAAATTCAATATTTATTCTTCACAGATTTTGTCTACTGAAGAAGCAGGATTCTTTTTCAATGATCTCCTGCCGAAAATAATCAAATTAGCCTTACGACTGCCAGAAATTGTCCCAGGAAGTTTTCCTTTATTAAGGAAGAACCACAACAGGTCTGTCAGTTTATCACAGTTACAAATATCTTGTCTCTTGGCTAACGCCTTTCTGTGTACGTTTCCATGGCGGAAAGATGTGGCTAGTACATATCCGGGAGTAAATTTTGTAAGGTAAGTGAGTGATATAACTATATGGAATTGTTGATGAACATAATATATATTTTAGATTGTACGCTGCGAATTCAAGGCCAAAACGTCAAAATTGCGTTTCGGAAAAGTTGAAATGTTTAATACATTATTTCAGAAGGGTTACAAGTAAAGGTATGTACGATCTCCAAGTTTTCAGTGTTACAATAATAGGAATTTTTGATGAAGTTGTTGAAGCTTAACGTCAAAGTAAACCTTACATGGTAATCTTTTTTAGTCCCTTTTGGTGTTATAACATTCGAAAGGAAATTTATACCAAGAGGAAGCATGCCCAGATGGGATGTGCTGGAGAATAACTTGGGAAATACCAAAATACACATAAACAGTTTTGGAACCATAGAAGACGACGGTCTAGGATTTTTGCAGGTCGATTTCGCTAACAAGCAAGTATTTTTTATTTATCGTGTGATATCGGTCTAACCGATCACGGTTTTTCTCCCAGGAATGTTGGTGGTGGAGTTCTGGGATATGGTTGCGTACAAGAGGAGATACGATTTGTGATTTGCCCGGAACTGATAATAAGCAGACTTTTCGTGGAGCAGCTTGGTGACCATGAAGCTGTTGTCGTCACAGGTACAAAATAGGTTAACTTTAATTGAAAACAAATTATGTTTTGCAATCCACAGGGCCAGAAAGATACAGCAGATACTCGGGTTACGGCGATACTTTTAAATGGGAAGGGAATGTTCAAGATAGTACCCCACACGATGAATACGGTAGACGGAGAACTTCAATCTGTATCATCGACGCTACTCACTTTAATAAACCTATAGATCAGTTTTACCCATCCGCGATTCTGAGAGAATTAAACAAGGTATTATAAAATGTGGTGCAATTATATTCAGTGGCATTTCCGATGTTTTACCACTTTTCCAGGCTTACGTTGGGTTTAGTTCTCGAGAGAAGGATAATTTGGCCCCGGTGGCGACTGGAAATTGGGGCTGCGGAGCTTTCCGAGGAAGCTCCGCCTTAAAATCGATCATACAGTTGATGGCTTGTAGTGCGGCAGGTAGAGATATGGTGTATTTCTCTTTTGGAGATGAGGAATTACGCGATGAATTGTACAACATGCACCTCTTTCTAGCCAACAACAGAGTGACGATCAGTAAGTTTTAATTTTTTTACTGAAATTTATGAAACTTCCGATATATTTGATAAAGTGACTGCATAGAAAAATAATTTTGTTGGCATTTATTCAAATTTTTTCAATTTTTAGCGCAGCTGTGGAGGTTTTTGTGTGGGTTTGCAACTTTAAATCTTACGCAAGAGAAACTGTACGCTTACATACAACAGGCATTTTTTGACGGTAAAAAACAGCCGACGATAAAAAAATTCTTTGGGATTACCAATAAAAAAAAAGAAAGTGAAATTCCATCTACGTCTAATGGTAAAAGGGTGTACAACACGAAAAAAAAAGATCTAGAAAAACCCGACGCTATGGATTACGTAGACGACGATGATATAATACCCCCAACTCCACCAAATGAACTGTTGTATAAGAGAGAAAACGTCAAATTTAAAATTAAAGCTTCAAACGAGGACGTTAGTAGAAAGCTACCAAAAACCGACATCGCTGAATTGATTGATATCATCGACGGTAACATGAACAAACCAAAAGTGACCAACCGGGAAGAATCTTTCTTGATGGAGGTGGACAAATTGCGAAGAAATAGTCTAAACAGTGATACAGAAGCGAGTAGACTTTCTAAAGTTGGAGAAAACGAAAAGGTGGATGTAAATGAAAGTGTAAATAGTGAATCGCCAGTTTTAAGTAGCCCCACCGCAGAATCAAAGTCCACAAAGAGGAAAATTACAGATTATTTTCAGATCAAATCGTCGAAATCAAGTTAGCGTTTGTTTTTGGTTTATTTTTAAATATATTTGTTACAAAATCATTCGTATCACATTATTTACAGCCACACCTAATTAAAAATAAATTTTCATTAAAAAAAAACAATTATATTTCAAGAGCTATAAAATTACAAAAATAAATTTATATTATTACCCCACCATGGTTCTTTTTCTGCCTCTAGCTCTCACTTCTTCAAATTTGGAAAATACTTCTTTATATCCCGATGTGCAATGATTTCGGTAACCCTCCAATATCTTCGGGAAAATCTTATAAGCTATATTATGCGTACTACTTAAACCTCTTTCCAAAACGTACAAATCCACTCCTTTGTCCTCTGTGTTACAGTCGAGATGTGCTAGTCCAAAGTCGATGAAAACAAAGTATAATTCATTTAAATCGTCATATTTGTGTACGTCATTTTTGTTCACTACGAGTATATTGGATGAAGTTAAGTCACCATGCACAATACTAGCATCGTGCATAGTTGCTAGTATCTTACCAATGTCTAATGATACTTTAAACAATACTTCTACTGATGAATCTTCTATAAATTCTTTCAAGGAAATACTGTATTCGAAATATTCCATAAATATTGTTCTCCTGTGGAAATCTACCAAATACAATGAAGGAGTTCTTATACCACTCGCTTTACATCGAACTATAGCTCTACCTTCAGCCTTCATTCGTTCTTTACTTAGAAAACTGTCCAGACTTTTATGTCGATATTCTTTAACAAATCTTTCTTTAGCAACCGTTGGCTTTCCTAAATAAATTCCTTTGTACAATTTAGCTTCAGCGCCCTGTTTTATCAGTTCAAAGGTCTCCATTTGTTTTAAATGTTTTACAGAGATTTGTACAGTTATATTTTTATTCTGTTATTTCATTCATATACCCCATACATTTTTGTAGTGAAAGTTAGGTTAAAAATACACCCAGTGTTGCCAATGCCAATTCACTAAATTTAAAAATTTCTTTTAATTTCGAAAAAACGTTTTAACTAAAAACCCTTTTTAAATAAACAAATCCGAAATATTTTATGTAGTATGTAACTATACACTTATATAGCTTAAACTACATGCATATATGTATAGAAGAGAACTACATGGAAGAGAGGAAGCACCTCATGTTAAAAGTCCTGTTCGTTGTGTCTGCTTATCGGCGTTCTTTGAAGCCGAGCACAAAATCTATGTTGTTCGTTATGTAGGAGTATTTCACTTTGATCAATAAGTAGTGATGGGACTACTCGAATGAAAATTATCGATTATATCGATTATGAAAATCTCTCGAGATATCTCGAGTGGTGGATACGAATGACAGTGGCCACAGCGTTACTAATACCTGCACTACTCGAGCGAGTGCGCAGATGTTTCGATTGTTCCAACGCTCTAACGAGCTACAACATCTCGAGATAAGACGGCCGAGAGCCGAGAGGATAGATGAGACAAGACAATCGAATATCACCGCACCGACATCAAGAAAAAAGGTATGCAGAAATTTTATGAGTGGCATCGCGGGGGTTTAGATGGGAGCTTTATTTAGCGGGGATAAAAATTCATATGAATGAAAATAATACCGAATTATGTTTTCTATATCATTTTTTTTTCAAAAAAATCCCAAACAATGGACCTCTTTAGGCGGCGACTACTCATTTTAAACACATGCTGCTGAACCACTCAACTGGCAACGAAGAAATATGGAAAAATGCCCCAATGCGCGACAGTAATTCATTTACCTAACGTCAACATGTTTCGCATATGATTTGGGATAGACCGGAAATTTTCAAAGTGAACTTTCGATTATTCATTCGAATGATCATTCGATTATAAAATTAATTCGAACGGTAACCTCTCGATTATTTAATTCATTCGATTATTCCCATCACTATCAATAAGATTATTGCTCTGGTTACTCTGTCATTTGTGCTGGAGCAAACGGAGTAGAGCAACTAGAGCAATCAGCTGATTTTCCACAAGACAAAATATTTATATGACATATTCACGATCTTCGTCTAAACATATTGATACATTTTCCAAATCATTTTCTCCTTCTTGCAGTAGTAATTACGGCCAATAAACCTAATAAGTTTTTCTTATTCACGGTGAATAACAAATTTGCTTTTTGTATACCTAAACAGAAGAAAAACTGCTAAAATACCCTAGATAAAGTAAACTTAAAACACACACGTATACATCAAATCAAAGCATATGTTATCATAGAAATTTTTTTATGATAGGTTATGTTCAAGTCGTCTTAATGAACTACTGGTCTACTTTGTGATCTAAAGGGATCTGGTGACGTCACTGCTCCGTACTTTTCATGATCCACCTCTTGGAGCCACAAGGAGTAGCATCTAACGAGCAAGTGAAAAGAGTACAAGACTGATAGTTCTCTTCTATTATCTATGCTGATAGTGCTGATACCAGCCTTGAAAAGAGTAGACAAAGTAGAGAGAGAGAGATCGATAGTTTGGGGACTCTCTCTCTCTATAACCCTTGTGGATGAATTTGCTTTAGCCAATTACGCTAATTACGTGCCTGTGAGAGAGAAAAAGATGGTACCCAAACTAACTCTTCTTCTCTCTATCACTCTCAAATCGATGGTATGGTAACTGTCAAAGTAAAACCACAACAGATGTAAAACGTCAAACGTAAGGATACAAAACAACAACATAAAACGAAAAGCAGAATAGAATTTTCGTTTCTGAAGTGTTCTAAGTTTTTAATTGATCCATGAAATATATTAATTTTTGAAATATATTGTAAAAAAATGAGTAAACCTGTTGTTATTAGTGGTGAGGCTTCAGAAACAGATAGTGAAGACGAGTTGAATACAAAAACTGTAAGACCTGTGTATAAAAATGTTTTGGTTAGTTGATTAAATTTGAGAATATTTCTATTTTAGCTAAAAAATGTTATGATGCAGTCTGTACAAGGTGCTATGATAACTGGTGAAGATTCCGAATCTGAATATGGCAAGAAAACTTAAAATTTGTTAGAATTTACAAATTAAATAACGGCATGTTTTAGAAAATGATGCAAGCATTGCCAGTGCTGTATCTGCTTTGAACCAATCAAACTTTGAAAATAAAAATCACGAAGAGAGTAAATATGATTCATTGTTTCATCAGAAATTAAGTAAGTACCATTCATTACTGATTATTATCTTTCTTATATAAAGATTTTCAGAGGAATATAATGCCCGTTTTCATAATAATCTGGAAGGCTTTACTCAGAATACTGTGAATGAAGCTGGGAGAAAATTAAATACGATAGATCAGCAGCTGCTGAGATCCCAGTTGACTCTCCAGAATGCTGTCACGTCACTTAAATCGCTTAGCATAAATTCTTTAACTGTAAAAAGTAAATTACATTCTCTGCTGTCGGCTAAATTTCTTCCAAATGTTAAAGTTAATAAGTGAGATGTTTCTTTAAAATGTGATACAATTTTATAATAAAGCAAAATGTGCTGTTTATCCTCTATAAACATGTATTCAGTTAAGCTGGCTCAGATGATTGGTTTATCCATTTGTTCGATAATTTGAAAGTATGAATATTTTATTTTTCAAAAACGTTTCGAGAATTTTAAGTCAATTATTCTTCCACTATTATATCATCTTGTATATCTAACAAAGACAAATATTAATTCAGTATTTACCAAATAAAAATAAGATTAAGTTTCTGACTTTTATTTTTATATATTTGGAGTTAATTTTGGTACATAATTTTGGTTACACATGAAGGAATTCTTTCATCAAGGCATTAAAAGTAGAGCGTAGTTGAGTATTCCTATTTTTTTTTATTAAATTCAGTCATCTGAAGAAACAGTTCAACGGACATAATTAAGGTTCTTTACAGGACAAAATAGACAAATGCTACTTATTAAAAGAAATTTTCTTAATGGACCTAAAACATAAAAATTGAGATTCGAATTACCTCTACATTTTTATCATAAAAATCTACCAGCTCATTTCAGATTCAAGGATTACCAGGTTCTGCTACGAAATCTTCAGAAGATCCTGAAAAGTTGTATAATAAATTTCTTTAACAAAAGCCATGTACTATTTTCTCTAAGAAATTTGTTTGTCCTTGATTATACAATAAATTGGGTACTCTAATGTAAACAGTCTTTTAGAAAATGAAATTAATTACAATTTTGTTAACTCTGAATTTTTTTAGTTTGGGCAGTTGTAATATTATAAATTTTGTAATTAATTAAAATTTACTTTTAAACGAGCTAGAAGAATTGGCCTCTGGCTTGTCATCTTGCCCTTTTTCTTTATCTGGGCAACACTGTATACAATCGTTGCTAGTATTGGCACACTTCAGCACATCTTTTATTCTCTTTCCGCACTTCTGTTTACAGGGGGACACGTTTCTAGCTTTAGAATCCTTTCCATCGATTTTGTATGTAGATTTAATCACTGACATGCAATTACACTTCTCTTTGCATGTGCCATTATTGTCGACAATATTGTTTTCTAAATCAATAAGAGAGTTTAGTATGTCTTTCACTATCATCTCGTTGGATTTTACAGAGATATTTTCTTCGTTCTCTGTGAAATTTTTTAGTTTTTCTGCTAAATTCATTAATAGATTTTCTATTGCCGTCCTCAAGTTTTTGTTGTCGGATATAAGTTTAGTGACGTATGCTTTAAGTTCAGCCCCTTCTGATGTTAATTCCTCGATTTGGTTTTCTAAAGCCTTTATCATTTTCTGTTTTTCCATTATAATTGCGTTCAGTTCTTCGACATTTGCAGAGTACTTTGCTTCTTGTTTATGGTTTATTTTTATGTCTTTCTCTTTATCCATTCGTTCAGATTCTTCCTTGTATTTTTTTATTTCTTCCGACAGGGTCTCTTTTACCTCCTTGTATGCATTCATTATTTTATCATGTTCCTTTTTACCTACTTCCAGTGCTTCTTGCAAAGCCTCAATTTTTTTATTTGTGCCTTTCAGCGCGTCATCTTTTTCTCGAGTTGTTTTCAAGAGATTATTGTACTGTTTTTGCAATTGCTTCAGTTCATCTTCAGCGTTACATTTTTCTTGTAAATTCTTTGACAACTCAAATTTCTCTAATTCTAATGCTTGACTTTTTCTAAAAACTGTAGTAAGTTCATCCTGTAAGACACTTCTTTCTTCCGATGCACGTTCTGCCTCGAAGAGATAATCTCTTAAATCGTTTTTCATATATTCATTTTGCTTTTTTAGATTTTCATTCTCAGCGTGCATTTCTTTCATTTCCTTTTCACATTCTGCAAGTATTTTGTTGCTTTTATCTAGACATTGCTCTAGGTGATTTATTGTGCATTGCCTTCGACATATTTCAATTTCCATATCTTTAATATCATTTTGCAGCTTCTCGGTGAGACATTCACGTTGACATAGCTCGGTTTCCAGTTCTTTAATTTCGTTTTGTAGTTTGATGTTGACAGAATCCGAGTTAATCGTTTCTGTTTCATATTTTTCAGATTTACAGTTGCAACCTTTGTATCTATTTTGATACTCTACGAGATCAGATTTTAAAGCTTCGATCTGTTCCTGTAGCTTTTGGTTTTCGTCTTTCAAGGTAGTCGTTTCAGCGGAATTATTTTTTTTAGTACAATTACAACCTTTATATTTATTCTGATAAGCTGCAAGTTCAGACTTTAAAGCCTGGATCTGTTGTTGCAGCTTTTGGTTGTCTTCTTCTAAAGTAAGTAAGTTTTCATTGGTAGAGCTACAATCTTTATATTTTTCCTGATAAGCTGTAAGTTCAGATTTTAAAGCGCTAATCGTCTGCTGGAGTTGACGGTTTTGATTTTCCAAAGAAGTTATTTGTGTGAAATTATTATTATCAACGAAACTCTTGCTGTCTATGGTTGCTTTAATATTTCTTACAACGCAGCAACACTGATCAATTTCCTTTTGTTTTTCATTTTGCGAGTTTTCTAAATTATCAATCTTTTCTTGCAGCATTAAAATTTGCTTTTCATCCTTTTCTTGTAATCGCTTAATATCCTTTTGCAAGCTAATTGTTTGATTCTTTAAAAATTCCCTCTCTTCAAACAATTTAGCTATATCTTTGTTTGCTGCTTTCAAGTTTTCCTGTAACATTAGCACCTGTTTTTCGTCCTTTTGCTTTTTTACTATTTCGTCTTGTAAAGCTATTATTTGAGTCTCTAAGTTTTGTTTTTCTTCAAACAATCGAGCCATTGTACTGTTTTCTTTTTCATTTTCACATTCTGACTTTTCTAGTTGCTTAATCTTCTCCTGTAAAACGTCATCTTTTTCTCGAATATACATGACTTCAGTTTGTAAGTTAACAACCTGATTCTTTAAATATTCTTTCTCTTCAATCAGTTTAACCTTTTCTTGATTTGTTACTTTCAAGTTTTCCTCCATTTGTGCAATTTTGCTTTTTAATTCAGTTTCTTGTTCTTGCTTTAAATTGTCGTCACTCTTTGTTTCTAATTTCTCTTTTTCCAGAATTTGCAGGTGCATTACCAAACTATTAACTTTTTGGTTGTAATACTTGTTTTCTTCTTCATATTCGTTGATTTCCAATTTAGCCTGTTCAAGACTTTCCTCTAAATTTTTTACCTTCTTCTTTAATATAGCGATTTCAGCTTCACTTTGAATTTTATCTTCATTTTCATTTCCACGTACATTTTTTATAACTGCATTGTTTTGTTCTACGTTTCTCTTCACCAACGTTTTACACTTTTCATTAGTACACGGGGTGATATTCCATAAATAATCTTCTTGCAATAGCTCTAATTCTTTTTCGCATTCTTTCAGTGCTTTACGTAAACCCTTATTTTCTTTTGCCAGGTCCACTTCTGAACCTTGAATATTAAAGTCTTCATATTCGTTGATTTCCAATTTAGCCTGTTCAAGACTTTCCTCTAAATTTTTTACCTTCTCCTTTAATATAGCGATTTCAGCTTCACTTTGAATTTTATCTTCATTTTCATCTCCACGTACATTTTTTATAACTGCATTGTTTTGTTCTACGTTTCCCTTCACCAGCGTTTTACACTTTTCATTAGTACACGGGGTGATATTCCGTAAATAATTTTCTTGCAATAGCTCTAATTCTTTTTTGCATTCTTTCAGTGCTTTACGTAAACCCTTATTTTCTTTTGCCAGGTCCACTTCTGAACCTTGAATATTAAAGTCTAGTTTGCTCTTTAGTTCAAAGATTTCCTCGTCCTTTTGTTTCAAAGCCATATTTTTCTCGGCAATAGTATTTTTCAGCTGCTTTATATCCGTGAGATAGTTTTCCTTTTCTTTAATCATGATGTCGATACTCCCAGATAGATCGTTAATATTTGAATGGTTGTTGTCTGATATCTCCAAACATTGCGCTAAATTTGATTTTTTCTCTTTGAGTTGTTTTTTTATAGATTCATTTTCCGTTTTCAGCATTTCTACCTGATTAGTCAGGTCCCCAACGACTGCAGCTAGGTTTTCTTCACTCTGGATTTTGTTTTTTTCCACATGGGTATCGTATGCTATAGTCTCCTGTAGGCTCTCCTCAATGTGACTGGAAGCTTTACCAGTTTTCATTTCATTCAATACCTTCATCAGCACATCTTTAACTGTTTCATTCTGATTTTGCATAATTATTTCTATATTCATTACTTCTTTTAAAATATTCTGATGTAAGGAATCTTTGACACTTGGAATCATTTCTATGCCTTCCTGTGGAATCAGTTCAATAGTTACTTCTTTACATCTGAAAATACATCGTACATTATAAGTTTAATAAATTTGTTAACGATATATACTTAACTGATTTTTACAAGTCTCCAACACTTCATTCTGCAAAGTTTCCAGTTCCTTTCTGGCAACATCCCGTTCTTTACACAATCTCAGATTTGATTTCTCTATCTATTAAGTGTCAATTAATAAGAATTACATATTTTAAGCTGTTTTTACCTTTTTCTGTATTTCTTTTAAGTTGCTTAGTTCCTGAACGACTGTGCAATACTTGAACCTTAATAATTCGTAGTCATCAATAGACGTTTTGTACCGTTCTTCTAATTTTTTAATTTCTCCCTGCAGCATTTCAATAAGAACATCTCTACCGGAAACTGTTTGCTCGGCCTCTTTCACTTTTCTTTTATAATTTTCACAATCGAGGCAGTCGTGCTTATACAATTTTGAAGGATTCTAAAATTTAAATTAAAGTAAAATGTCTGAAAATATTAAAAAAATTATGGTTACCTTTTCAATACTAGAATTTGAACTACTCATTTTAGAGAATCATCTGAAACAGGAGCCCATTTTTTTATACTAATTATTTCATTTTATTTAACTAATTACTTTGTAGTTCTGAAATATAGAGTTGTTAGGATTTTGATTGAAGTGTTACTTTTTACTTTGACACGAGTCAGTAAAACACTTTTGGCATTAGCATTTTTGTTTTGTAAATTCTTTAAAAATGGGGAAGAAAGTAAGAAAGTTCAAACCCTTTAAACAGTACCGCTTCTTAGTGGGGGCCGTATCAAAGCCTTACTGTGTTGCTGATCTAAAAGAGTTCAATAAGCACCGATATAAAGTATGCCCATACCCTTAGGAAAAATAAGTTCAGAAGGTCAATTACGCTCACATTTTTATAGGTATTTACCGCTACCCCTTGTATAGACAACAAGCCTTTGAGAATGCATCCCGCTAATTATTTAAAAAAAGGGAAAATATTAGACGACGTATTGAGACTGAAGCAAGTAGATAAAGAAAACAAGGATTTACTCAAAAGAATAAATGTAATTAACAGGAAAGGGGTATGTAATGTAGCAAACAAGTCGAATGTGTACTGTATGTAATGTAATAAGAAATATTCTTGTGATGATACATTCTGAAGAATTCATAGTTCTGAATATTTCTAAAAATATGTCCCGGATAGGTATCACTTATTTCACATTTTTAAAATTGCTGAAAATAATTATTATATGTATTACATAGGGCAATATACAGAGTGAATCTCAAACAGTGACTAAAAATTGAACCTCGTATTCTTTGGTGAATTTTAAGAGGACTCTTCGTTAAAAAGATATAGGGTGTTAAAAACGAATCTGATAATTCATGATTGTTACCGTAAAGCAGTGGGCGTACTACTGATACCCTGTATCTCCGCCACTGGAGTTTAAATTTTAGGAAAGAGCCTCAGATTTTGGACAATGTTTACATAAATACACGTGCTTAAATACAAATAATACAATACAAATAAATATATGTGCTCAATTTCAAATTATTTTACTTCACGAAGCAACCTAGATACAAATTTTATACAAAAGACCCCTTAAAATTCACTAAAGAAGAAGCGGTTTCATTTTTGGTCACTGTTTGTAAATCACCCTGTATTTTCTTTAGAATTTTTTTCCTTTTTGTTATAAAAAATTGAAATTTTATGATATTTTTAAATTCAACTTCACATCATTTGCAACGTAGGGTATCATTGATTGCTACAATCCACTGGCTTATAGAAGAACTGATAATTGGCGGACTTTCTACAAAAAACTGAAATTGATCGATGCAGAGAATAAGGTGATATACAAACTGATAACGAAAGTGCACAGCCATTATGCCAAAGAAGACTTGAATAAACATTGGCACAAAACTCTTGAGAAAATGAAACATTCCTGCAAAATGCCATATAACATTTTGGATAAAGTGAGCATTGACGAAACCCTTAAGGCTTGCCCTTCGATAAGTGAAGGTCTTGAAAAAGGCAATGTTGACAGGCCCCTGTAATTATTCAATTTCAAAATGCTATTTATTTTTTAAAGCAGTTAATAACTTTTAGATGTTTTTTGGAATTTCAAGAAAAAGAAGGCAGACCTGTTGGTCGAATTGTAGTGGAATTATATTACGATCATGTTCCTGTTACTGTACAGAATTTCTTAGAAATTTGTAATGGGGAGAAATTAACTTACAAAAATTGCTTAGTTCATAGAATAGTTAAAGGGAAATTTTTGGAAACGGGGGATATTACAAAGGGTAACGGTAGAGGAGGTTTTTCAATTTATGGTGAAACTTTTCATGAAGAAAATCATATGTTGAAGCATACTAGAGCTGGTATTGTTGATATATTTTTAAATTGTACAAAAGCATGAATACTTGTCTTTTAGGAATCCTTTCTATGAAAAGGATAGGTATGTCTGAGAATAATTCACAATTTTGTATTACATTTACAAAAATGGAACAATTAGATCACAACAATGTAGTGTTCGGTAAAGTAGTAAAAGGCAATGACACATTGTTCAAGATTGAAGCTTATGGGCGAAAAATTGGGAAGCCCTACGCTGAAATAATTATTTCAAAATGTGGGCAACTGCCTCTTCCTTCTAACTAATTTATAATTCGCGCGCCTCTAAGTTTTAGAATAATTTAGTTGTTATGTTGGTACGATAAATTGCATATGTCTGCCGATTTACAATTGCGACTGTAAACACGCGGTTGATTGTTTTGTGGATTTACTAATAAATTTTATAAAGGTTTAAAAGAGTTGTTTAATTTTTAAATTTGATTATTATTTAATTCTTATAATGTTGTATTTGGAGGATTACTTAGAAAGTAAGTATCTTTTGTTTACATTTTTGTAACGCACGCGCCGCTTGAACCAAAGGCGCATAATTTAAATTTAATTTCAGTGATTGAACATTTACCTCAAGAATTAAGGGATAGATTTACCGACATGCGAGAAATGGACTTGGCTATCCATAGTGAGTTTCAGCGCAATGTTGTATCTGTTTCGAGCTTATCCATAATTTTTTAGATAATATGGACGAATTGGAAAAACGGGTAAAAATATTTTTCAATGACTGCAAGCGATACCCAACAGATAATCTACCTCAGACTGTTGATGCAGAATATCAGGCTATAAGGAAAGAGTATTATAAGACTTTAGAAGATGCCGATGAAAAGGTAAGGGTATTGTCATTTTATTCTAATGTGAATATTGGTTTGTTTAGGTTCATTTGGCAAGTCAAATGTATGATTTAGTGGATAAATATTTAAGACGATTAGACTCTGAACTGCACAAATTTAAATGTGAGTTAGAAGCAGATAATAAGGGTATAACGGAAGTATTAGAAAAGCGATCACTTGAACTCGATACACCTAATACAACTCCGAATATATCGTCCTTACAGCAAAAGGAAAATCGTTATGAAAGGTACGGTGATTATGGGAACATTTGTGTACTACAACATTAATTTAGTGTGAGTTCTAGCAGTTTTAGGTATACTCGACCGAGAAGCGAGAAACGACGTGACAGTAACACTTCCCTGCCTTCTCAATTTTCGGAAAAGAGACAAGCCGTGGCTGCAGTTGCGCCACCTCCTTTAGTTGAAACCAGGCACACAGCTACACCTCAGGTAACCCCTCCAGTACCGTCCACGATAAGTTACAATTTGGGACACAGTCTCGGAGCTGGACCGGCTATTGCTGCGGCGGCGTCCCAGGCTATAGCCGCAACGCAACAGGTAAGTATACACTTTCAGAAATGGGGATACTTGAGACGGGAGTTATACCAGAGTTCCAAAATAGCGGGCAGTAAGCCTCGTAAATTAATCAAACAATTTTTACAAGCTCTTAATTTGACAAAATAATTTAGTGTACAAAAAAGAATTAACCATCGCTGGATAGATATTTTAGATAGTTAGGTTAGGTTTATTTTCAAACTTAGATCATTTTTTACTGAAAGGGCTGCTTTCATCATGGAATAATACGACCACATTGGAAATAACTCGGAGAAATATGCCAGTAAAACATTTTCACTACATTTTTTCATTCCATGTCTCGCACCATTACATGGATATGTCATACTGGCGATTGTATTTTTTGACTGATTTTTGTGGTAGAATTTTGAAACACGTTTCTAACTTCCCGAAATTCAGGCATTGTGCACTGAATGTTTTTTTCCATAATTTTCTATAAATAATTTGCGACAAAATTTTTAGTGTTGGGGCTGTGACGGCGACAAACGATTTCTGATTAATGTCATACAGTAGTGACTACGTAGCTAAATATTTGCGTCAAGGCGCTATTGGCGATAAAAATAATTATTTTTGCTGTTTTTAAAAATTTATATACTAAATTATTAAATTGTTTACTACTCTGATAAAGATTGTAACTACCTGTTAGATACTTATAAGGATAATCTAGTGTTAATTAAAACGTACATATATGTTTGTTGTTTTACATCAGCGGTCTTCAAACTTTCGCGATTTGTGAAACCCGGCCAACATTTCGATTTTTTTGAAGTACCCTCACCGAAAAAAAATTTCGTACACATTTTTTACTGATTATACAGTGCTATTTTTTTTTAAACCTGACAGGCCAACTTTTTTATTTGAAGTGATAGACTAGTACATACTTCCAAATGCAAAGTTGTAGGAAATAACTTGATTAAGAAAAATTTACAATTCTGGTGTTGCCAGATTTCTGCAGTAGCTACTAAAACGACATTATTTTAAATGGCCACCTTATTTTTTAACATAATTTGATAAACCTTCAAATTCTAAATAGAAAATGTCATATTTCTTTATTGGAGTAGCCATTTTAGAACAATCGGCAAAAACAACGAAAATAATCTGTAGTAGGCAGGAAATAAAAGAAGCTGACATAGCAATAGTAGGTCTTGGAAATTAAACAAAAATTGTGTTGTTTTAAAGGAGCCATCATTACTGTACTGTCATTGTGTTATATGACAGCTGTTGTATTTGAATGTGTATAAAAAATAATGTTTTAATTCAGTAGCTAAGATGAATCAGTTACCTATATAATCCATAAGAGAAAGTTGGATTAATTTTTCATGTTAGTGGCTTCAGTTTATGCAATGTGTGTGCTGAATATCCCGATAAGCATTATCCAAATCCGGAGTTTTTAAGAAATAGCTTAGTAAAACTAAAAACAACTGGTAGTGTTTGCCCAAGGATCTGCAAAAGGCTGAAAATCATCTTAACAACTTAATTAAAACATTTTTATACACATTAAAAAACAACAGCTTTCAAATAACAATGACAGCACAATAATGATGGCTCCTTTTAAACAATACAGTTTTTGTTTTATCCAAGGCCTACTATTGCTGTGTTAGTTCTTTTAGATCCTGCCGACACCAGATTATTTTCGCTATTTTTGCTAAAACGGCTACTCCCATAAAGAAATGTGACATAAGATTTTTTATTTAGAATTTGAAGGTTTGTCAAATTATGTTAAAAAAATAGGGTGTTGCCATTTAAAAAAATATTGTTTTAGTAGCTACTGCTGAAATCTGGCAACACCGGAAAGAATTATTTGTAAATTTTTCTTAGCCAAGTTATTTCCTACAACTTTGCAATTTGGAAGTACTAGTCTATCACTTCAAATAAAAAAGTTGGCCTATGTCAGGTTTTAAAAAAATAGCAAAATAGCTGTATAATATATTTATAAATACTGCAATTAACAAAATAAATATTCCAGTAAGTAAAAATTAAAGTAAGACTTTTTAAATAAGTTTAAAGTAAATATTTATTGCATAATTAAAAAAAAGAGTAAATATAGTCAATGACTGGGATGTGCTTGAATATTTTTACATATTATATTGAAATTAGATGCTGTCGTCATAAGTTGTAATAAGCGCGGAACCTCCATAGAGGTTGTGGGGAACCCCGGGACTCCACGGAACACAGTTTGAATACCGCTGTTCTATATTAACAAATTCTCTAAAATGAAACGTCCATGCCATCAATCGCATGAGAATGAGTAACTGCCCACAATTTTGGGACTCTCATGTAGGTTCTTATTTATACTGAAATTTGAAAATAATTTATGTATTCAATATCCACTGCATATTTTCTTTAGATGCAACAGGGTAGAAGAACGGCCAGTTTGAAAGCGTCGTACGAAGCGATCAACACGGGTGGACACGGACACGAATTCAGCATCGGTAGGGAATTGGCTGGTGCCGCGCAAACCGCCATTCAAGCCATACAACAGGATCACGCCAACAACAAAAATAAGAAAAAGTAAGTACGATACCAGTTGTGATGAAATTCGATTATTTAAAATGGTTGAATTTCGAGAACAGCGTGCAGCATTGAAATTTTTTTTCTGCTCAGTAAAAGTGCATCGGACGCTGTTGATTTGTTGTCTACAGCTTATCAAGAATATGTCTTTAAAAGAACTCGAATGTATGAGTGGTATTTGTGACTTAACAACGGCGACATGTCGATCAGACATTCAACGCCTGCGTCGGTCTTCCACATCCAGAATTAATGAAAATGTGGAAGTGCTATATAATTTTTCTTTCTTTTTTTTTGAAGATGTTTGTGTGTGGCAAATAATAGAAAAATTCGCAAAAATTTATCCACTTTTCTACAGGGTGATTCACAAATGGTGACCAAAAATGAAACCTCATATACTTTGGTGAATTTAAAGGGGGAGTCTTTCGTATAAATTTTTGTCTAGGACGCTTCGTTAAAAAGATACAGGGTGTTAAACTTCAAAAAATATTTTTAATTTTTAAAACTTTAAAATAATTTAAAAACTAGTAAGTGAAATAATTTGAAATTGGGCACATGCATTTATGTAAACATTGTCCAAAATCAGGGGCCTTTTTCTAAAATTTAAATATTCCAGTGGAAGTGATACACTGCTTCACTGTAACAATCATATTTTTTAATTTGTTTTTTAATTTTCTACAAATTACTACCCTCTTGTTTTTCGTAAAAAGCCTGATTTTCAAGTAAAACTTAAAAAATGAACTGATGTGCCCAATTTCAAATTATTTCACTTACTAGTTTTTAAATTATTTAGACATTTTTTTAAGTTTAACACCCTGTATCTTTTTAAGGAAGCGTCCTAAATAAAAACTTTATACGAAAGATTCCCCTTAAAATTCACCAAAGAATTTGAGATTTCATTTTTGGCTAACATTTGTGAATCACCCTGTATATTTTCCAATATATTTAAAAAAATATATTTTGCAAGAAAAAACTAGGAACTATCCAGGGTGTAAGATGTTTGACTGCCATTATTTCAGCATGAGATAGACTAATCATAAATGAACAATAAAGTTGTATATTACAGGGAGGTAAGATTAACAGTTTTCAAAATACAGCGAGTATTAATATTGGGAAGTTTCATCACAACGCACTATGGTACGAAATGCCTTAAAGCTGGCCAAAAATAAAAATGTATTCCAAATTGTACAAAAATAGGTATATTTTTTGGCCCAACTGATTACGAATTTGATATCAAAATAAAAAAATTGAAAATGGCGGATCCAATATGGCGGATTAAATTAAAAAAAAAGGCGAATAAACTGACAAAAATAGGTGTTTCGGGGACAACACTGATTACGAATTTCATATTGAAATTGAAAAATTTAAAATGGCGGATCCAATATGGCGTACAAAATTTGACAAAAGTGGAATAATCTAACGGAAGTGGGGTTTTTGACCCCACTGATTCTCCGAAAATTCAATTTATTGTAAAGCAGAAAAATAACAATTCTTAAACAAAAATTCGTCATTTGATCGTGTTATTCTGTTGAATATTGTTGAAAGTCACGGGCTCGAATTAAAGTTTTCTTTAATATTATTTGTTACTTAAATTTTAATACGCATAAATGAATACTTGAGTGTTTTGAGTTTAGAACTTAGCAGATCTGATCAGGTCAAACGGATCTCGGATTCGGATTAAGCGACTCCAAAAACGTATAGATACATTGGTTTACTTTGTTGGCAATTGATTCTGTACATTTGACCTTGAGTTGACCTTAACGCAGATTTGATCGGATCAAACGGACACCGGATTCGGATTTACCGTCCCGAAAAACGTATAGATATGAAGGTTTACTTTGTTGGCAAATGATTCTCCACATTTGACCTTGAACTGACCTCAACGCAGGCCTGATCGGATCATAAAGACACCAGTTTTGGATTCAGCGACCCCAAAAACATATAGATACCAGGTTCTTGTCTTTCAAATATTCCACTTTTTTTTGTGGGGCTGTGAATTGACAAAATCGCATTGACTATCCTTTTCTATGTCATACTCGAGTATTCTTTCTCTTTATTTACTTATTGCCCTTTACTGTTCTACTTATATGTATTTTTTCAAACATTATTTTTACTTATTTTATAATAAGTGCAATACACTATTCGACATTAACGAAATAATTGAATTACGATTTATTCCAACTTTTGCTTTACTCATATCGTAAAATTGAAAGCGCAGATGTTTTTTTCATAATATTATAGTAAATTGATCATAGATTACGGGTCAATAAATAATTTAGCCTTATGGTGCCTTATATATAACTTTTAAGTTCACTTTTGAATGATTTTCGTAATAAATTTAAGCATTATTTGTCATAAACAATAATGAAAATAAGTGGACAATGAATAATTTATTATGAATAATTTATAATGTTGAAATACTTTACATACCTCTTGGAACAACGTCCATTTTATTACGATTTTATCAGAACAATAAATAAATTTTTACAGCACTTTGAACATGTGATGTGCTTTTGTGTTTGCTTAGGCGGCCACGAGACACACACAATAAGGTTACTTCGACTTCAAATTCTAGCTCCAGTATAAACGGCGAACTATTTCTACCGGTCAATTTAAATAGTCCAACTATCCCTATTGCCAACCTGATACTTAAAAAATTCCAAATAGAAACTTTTTTTTTCATTTTTGGCCAGCTTTTAGGCATTTCGTACCATAGTGCAACATGACAACAACGCTTAACCGAACGCTACACAGCTGGTGCATACCATGTGGGCACGTGGCAGACTTGTCCTACGGAAAAAATGTAAACAACTATTATTGTGAAATATTTAGTAAATTTCAAGACAATTGTTTGACAAAAAAAATGATAAACATTGTATTTTATGGTACTTTATGCACGCAGTTATGTCAATATTCCTTAATTAATCGAACTTTTGTCAGGTTGGAGATTTTGATAATTTTTTTCTCGGAAATGGTTGAGTTTAGGACCCATGTCACATAAGGTTTTTTTGTTTATTTTAATGTATTCCATCGTCTGTTAAAATTAAGGCAGTCAAACTTCTAACATCCTGTATTTATAAATTTTTTTGTCTGTTAGGAAGTGGAGTAACAACAGCACAAGTGCCTCCTCAGCTTCAGCCGTCGTTCAGCCGGTGATATCCACCACGATTGTAACGCCAGCCCCGGAATCGCCCACGGTCGACGTCGCCTCTCAAAACTCCGAAGTTACCGACGGCGAATGGACGTACGACCCCAACGAACCCAGATATTGTCTGTGCAATCAGGTTTCGTACGGGGACATGGTTGCTTGTGATAACGAGGACGTAAGTTCGCTTTTTTTCATTTTCTGATACCGTCGTAACATCGTATTCCTGCAGTGTCCTTCGGAGTGGTTTCACTATCCCTGCGTCGGCATAACTGCTCCGCCGAAGGGGAAATGGTACTGCCCGCAGTGCACGGCGTCCATGAAGAGGCGGGGAGGCAGGAAGAACTAGTATAGGAGATAGTCCGTTGTGTTCTACTTTTACGTTTTTCTTTTTTATACTTTCTATCCTGTTTTAACGTTACTTTTTAATATATGCAATATTTTTATAATAGATTATTGTATTCGTGTACGTGAACTTTGTTACGCTTATTTTTTAATTTTTTTTCTAAACTTAGTAGTGTGTTATTAGCTGGATGTATATCGTGAGCATGACAGTAATAAAACTTTGTATGCAAAATGGAATTTTATTTTTACTTAACCACAAAATATCGATTTACGATTTAATATTTTCACTCGAAGGATAGAGAACTGTAAAAAAGGTAAGTACGTTGCAATACAAATTATCACAATTTTAGCACCAAGCCTCACTTTTAACGCGTCATCGTCTGGTGACGTCACTATTAGTGAATGACGAGTAGGCGCGCGCATTGTTTTTAACTTGCTTTAAAATTTGGTCATTTATTACAAAATTGATTATTTGGCGACATGGGATTTTAATAATTTTATATTCATTATTGAAATAGCTGTCAATTGTATTTTAATAAAGTAATAGCACAGAAGATAAAACAATTTTATCTTCTGTGGTAATAGCACGGGGTAATAGTTACACTAGAACCGTTTTAAGATTGCCATTACGTCACGAGTGTCCGAATATCAAAGACAGTCGTTGCAGCCGTGAATTCGTTATTAAATGCGCTAAAAAGAGATACAATGATGGTATAAATGTCTTCATAGTATCAATCACAGACAACCGTTCCAATATTTTATGTGTATTAGAGTGAAAGAAAATGGAAGACGTTTGTTGGGTATTAATTTTAGACTGTAGTTTGACTAGCGCATTTATTAAAACAAAACAGAACTGACAGTCAGATTTCAGATTAAAAATTTGACAGTTGTTTTGATCGCGTGTTCGTATTAACTGTTGTATATATTTTCTGAACGTTAAAATATCGAGTTTTTGGCATATTTTCGTATCAAGTAATATCAGTATTAAAATTTGTGACATCCAGATTTGGGAATTGTCAAGATGACATTTCAATTATATGAAAACAGTGACTTAATTTGATTTTTTATCTTAGTTCATACGTATGTGGTTCATACGAATATTACTTGTGACGCAATGGAAAATATACAGCGGTTTTATCTATTTTGTGTGTAAATGTGCATAGAAACAATTTCAGAGAACAGAGAAATGTACGTCTTTCTAAAATGGCGGTTTTCCACTAAACGGACAGTTGACAGTTTATGTCCTGTTTGTGTTTTCTAGAACAAAACAAAAACAAAACAGTTTTGTTTTCAGTCCTTTTCCACTGGTTGACGCGAGGAAGTCAGAACACATTTTTCAAATAACCAGCCAACATGTTTAGAGAAGATTTTTTTATTCTTAGTTATGGCTGGTTTATACTGAAGTCCTTGGAAAAAAGTGTCTCTAAGGATTTTTTTGAAATTGCGATGGTGTGATACGGACCGTGGGGCCCACCAAGTTAAAATATTTTCAAGGTCATCGTACTTCCGGTTACACAGGAAGTCGATACTAACTTTCTTATTTTAAATGGAACCCCCTGTATATTGCATTTTTGGAAACATCATCCATTTTTAAATTCAAAACATATGTAGCACACTCCATATTTGGGATTGACCGTTTCCGAGATATTTCTATTTTTAAATAAAAATTGACAGATGCAGACTGTCAGCAAAATTTTAGTTTTCCCGATTTATTTTTTTGTGCAAATTGGAGATTTTGTAGAGAAAGACCTACTTTATCGAATTTGACATGAAAATTTTCCAGTTTTTATACAGGGTGGTCAAAATTTTTTTATCGAATATGAAGTGCAGAATATGTGGAAGACTCCAAATTTTTAAATGGAAACCCCTAATTTTTTTGCAATAATATACAGGGGGTTCCATTTAAAATAAGAAAGTTAATATAAACTTCCGGTATAGCCCGAAATACGATGACCTTGAAAATATTTTAGCTTGGTAGGCTCCACAGTCCGCATTACGCCATCACAATTTCAAAAAAATCCTTCAAGCGGTTTGTATCCTAGCCAAGTAAACACTTTAACCGTACACATATATATTTTTAATAGCTATATAACTCATTAATGATTAAAATATTGTTTTTGGGAAGAAGAAAACGCCAACGTAGATATTGGGTTGGATCACTTAAATAGAAAACACGACCGTTTCCACTAAACAGACTCGAGTTTCAAAACACGCCGAAACCATTTGATGTGACCGCTTTCGAGCGGGACCCGAAAAACAAAACTCCAACTGTCGCAAAACACGCCAGTCTTCAAAAAGTTTGCGAAAAGTTACAGTTTTGTTTTATTCGACACAAGTTTGTGTTTTGTTTTTGTTTTGTCCGTTTAGTGGAAAACCGCCTTAATATAGTTGACCTATTCAATGTCATAATTCTTTATCCCCCATAAAACTTATCTATAAAAAATTGTACATCCTTACCACAGCAAAATATCTATGCTGTGTCCTTACTGATTTGTACTATTTTCAATTATAGTCAAAATTCGCCAGAGATCGCTTTACGATCCTGATTGGAAAGATGAGTGAATTTGTGAGACTCGTTATCTGTATTACATTACCACATCCTCAATGTTTCAATGAAATATAAAACAATATAAATCCAAACAAATTGTGCGGCTATATTTTATTTACTTTATTTTGTGAAAATGTGAAGAGTCAACCCAAAGATAGGAAGACGTCTATGAGTCAAAGTAAGCTCTAAATTATTAAGATACAACATTTTTACATATAAAACGGACGTACTATGTTTAATATTCCATGGTCAATAAACTTATAAATAGTACCTATGTTATTTATTCAGTCGTTAGGTGCGCTGCTTACTCAGTCTTCCAGTTCTATGTTTACTTATTACAATATTCGATCCTTGCTGCGATATTATCAGTGGTGAGTGTTTGTACAAAGAAAATAGTTTTAACTGAAAATGAGAATAAAACAATTTAGTAATGATTCAAATATTTATTTGGGTTTTTATCGTAAAATTTAGTGTGCTATGGCTATGCAACCAGTTATACAACTTTGTGTTTTTCTGGTTGTGCTATATCAGTTCGTTTGTATACAAGTATAAAACAAGGCTATAAATAGGTTTACTCCATTTCAATTTATCCCAAGAAATAGTCGTTTATAAAATATTCAAGTATTAACTAATTATTAAAAACAATTGATTTAATAATTTTCATTATTATGTATTCCTTTCTCTATGATTTATCCCTGTATTTGGTATGATCGCCAACAATGGTATCCAATTGTGGTCAAGCTCGTGATAATAATGAGAATGAAATTGCAAAAGACGCTACAATAAAAACATTAGTAGGTCACTAGGTAGGGTAATGTTTTATTTTCTAGGAATTTGTAGAGGTCACATAAATAGCGTTTATTATTTAGTGATAATATGAAAAAACTTTAAGCAAATTAATATTTAAACTAAAAAACAATGTAATTTTCTATAAGGTGCAAGAAAAATATTAAGATGAAAAAACTCAAATATAAAAACACTGGTAGATTTATTCGTTGATAATTAACATTTACAGGGCGTAAGAAAAGTATTTAGCCAAATTTTATTTGTCGATTCTCTACCACAGAATTTAATCAAAAATATTTCTATAGACAGTCAATAATACACAATAAACAAATACTTAAGTATATTCATATATACTTGAATGATAATTATTAAAAAATAATTTGATATTTTGATAGCTCTAGCGTACATGTTATTTAACAGAAAAATTATTATTTATATCGAAATATTGTTGGAAAACTTTTGGTACTTTGTCATAATAGTGGGTCAAATTTTGTATAGAATGGAATAAAAAAAAATTCGTACGAAAATTGCTACGTCCACCCCCAGAGCTACGCCCCTGTACATTACAAACCTATGTCCTGCATCTGCATTAGTGAGTAACAAAAAATCAAAGCTACTTACCAAATTTAAATAAATCTCTAGCCGCTTTTTGTAATTAAAAAAAATATATTTTTCTTAAACAGATACTTTTACTTACATTTTTATTGAGACTAGCTGATTTTTGTCGTTGAATCTGCTATATGTTTGGCCAAGTATATTAGTTACTCTTCACTGACTGATAAATAGTAAATAGCAATAATTATTAAATTATAAGTTATTTAGTTGTGTATACTAAAATTTGTATTCCGTAATTTTTTTGATTACAGTTCTGCCATTGTATTTTGATTTTTTTTTAAGGTATGGCTAATTATTTCTGGTTTTATTTTCAAGGATGCAACTGATTTAGTACAATAATTAATAGATAAGCAATAAGTAATGTTTTTGATCAAAATATCCGTACTTTCACTAGGCAAGGCTTAAATGATTGAATTCCATAGAAAATTTAGATTTGTCAAATAGGTACCTTATTATTCCTAAATGAAATTGCTAAATATCTATTTTAAAAAGTCAAATTCTAATTTCAAATTCCGTTTTTCTTGGCAATAAAAATCTGTATTTAATATTTTATTTATAAAAAATAAATTGTTAATTAGATATTAAGTGTTAAAATATATTTTTTAGGATATAATTATGAACAAATTTCTTTTTTTTTATAAAATTCATTTTTTGCTGTTTGCAAATTGAATTCCATTGTTTTATATTTACGTATATTGATTTTGCATGATGTTCGTCTTTTTGAGTTCTGTTACAAAGAAATAATTTTAATTAATGCATTTGGTTGCTCAGGTTTAATGTACTTAGTTTCAGTTTTGCAAATTTTGTTACTTTTACTAATATATATGTTACATTCACTTTGTTTATAACGAGTCTAGGAGAAAATAAATGGGCAACATTTAAATACTCACAATATAAATTCTAACTCAATTTCTAATCACACCTTGTGTCATTTCTATTGGTTTTATGGACTGTAAACGTAATCATTGACAGAACACTAGGCAATAGCTTTATAATGACCATCTAATAACATCAATTACCTACGTTTGTTTGAAAGAGTAAATCTCAATGGTGATTTTAAATGTCCGTAAAACAATGGATATGTGGAGTATCTGTCTGTAAAAAAGAGGGTTCGTTTGATTGCAGACATTTGCCCAAAGTTTTAAGGCAAGTTAGGCAGTCCGTTCGCCGTCAGGGGGCGGCACAGTCGATGCCGTGAAATCTAAAAAACTGTTCAAAAATTGGATCAGTTTAATACTTAAATAGGAAAGTAACAGCCAGTAGAGTACAAGATTTAATGCCAC